CGTAAATGGATGAGGTTCGGGCCGGCTCCTGAGTCAAGCACTGGCGTGATGGAGACCATCAACGCCTGCTTCTGACCAACCGTCGCGGAGATCTTGTAATTCTGGTTCTTGAAGAAGCAGATGGCCTGGACTTCTGTTCGGTTACCCGGCTGCGCTTCCACTGGCGCAGCCGGATCGAGGGTGCCTAAGCTTCTGAGGCTGGGCACGGGGAGAGACGTCGTCGCCTCTACGCGTCCTCCCCGGCTTCCCCCGTGAGCAGCAAGTCCTCGCGGGTTTCATCCGCGGCTTGCGCCACGCAGTCTTCGGCATGGTCGGGGTGCGGTTCCTCGACCACGTTGACGCCCGCGGGGGCCGTTTGACGCTGGTTTCGCCAAGCGGACGGCCCCTGGCGGTTGAACGGGGATCGCGGGCGGAGGCCTTGCCGGATGCGTAGCTTCTGGTAGTTGGCCTCTCGTGCCTCCAGAAGCTTGGCTCGCAGGCCCGCATCGGCAACGACGGGGCACTCCTCTTGTCGGTGCGTGGTGTCGAGTCAGAACCGGCACTGTGGCGGTTCGGGGAACCTCCCGCCGGAGAACCGGACCCGTGTATCCTGTCCTTGCCTCCCGTACAGTCCTGTGCGCACGTCGCCAGGGTTGGCGGGCGGAACCGGGGCGCTCGCCGTCGAAGCTGCTGGCGACGGATAATAACTCGTCATCGGCGAGCTCATCGAGGTTGGCGTGGCGGTTTAGTCCGTCACGGCCAGGATTGCTTCTTCAGCAAACCCCCCGGCCGTCGGGATGTCGGATGCCGACTCAACCGACAGCACGGGCCCCGTCCTTGCGGTGCGGTCGAATCTTCTGGCTGCTCCGGGCGGCCCTCGATGCGCCATAGCTGACATCCCCTGTCGACGGGAAGCCCGATTGGTTTCCCCGATCGCTTGCGCATAGCGAGCGACGGATTGGTAGTCCACATTCGGGTGCGTGGCGAGGTAATTACGAACTTGCGCGCACGTGGCGGGCAGTAACCCCTCGACGAACAGGGACTTCAACCGCCTGTCGGAGAATACCGTACCGCAGCGGAGTGCCTTGTCCCAGAGGTGGTTACTGTAGACCTCCTCCGTCATGTTTGAACTTTGACGGAAGGAGGTCACATCTCCAACCGCTTCGGAAGTTACCTCGTCGGTAGCATAGGTGCGCAACAGAAAGTTGACCACCTGCGGGTATGTCCGGAGCAGCTCGCGCCGCTCCACGTCAACTGCCATGGTGTTTCCATTGAGACGGGACTGGAGTAAGGCGTGAGCCTGCCCGGTGAGGTAGAATTGGAAACACCACACGGCGGCTCCTTCGGTAATCCCGTTGTGGTCGCACGCCATCTTGAGGCGTGCGAGGAATCCCAATACCGCAATCAGATCTTGACCGCTGAACGTGTGGGACCTCATCTGCACGTCCAGTTTCTTCCGGTAACGGTTAATGTGCCGCGCTACTGTAGAGTCGTAGCGCGAGCTACGCCGTTCCAGGCGGTAGGTCTTGTAGTTGACGGCCTTGGTAAACAGGTCATTGAGGGGCCTGATTACCGTGGGCCGTCGCTCGTCGCTCTTCGGGGCAGCCCGGCGGTGTCTGCTCGAGCGACGACGTTCCTCATCCGACTCGGTGTGGTAGTCCTCCGAGTCGGACGGGTCGTGCCGGTGCCGGTCTCGGCTTCTATCGCGGCGTGTCCTGTGGCCCCGCCTGCGAGAGTCTTCCGAACCGGATGGGTCATCATCGGAGGGGTATCCTCCCCCTCCGGCATCGCGGTATCGCCCGTGGCGTGCCTCGCGGTTATCGCGGTATCGCCAGCGGCGTCCCTCGCGGTCTTCATCCGTCCTGTGACGGGGGTCTTCTGCGTCGGAATACCGGGTGTATTCCGCTTCGGTCCTGTGCGTGCCGGGTGCACGTCTTCTGCTCAACCGGTGCGGGTCCCGATTCTCTGTCTCGGGGAGCCCCAGGCGGTTGTCTGTCCCGCGGGGGTCGCCCGTACCGGCGAGTATGGGGAGGACATTTCTGTGGTCCTCCCTGTAGCACCGTGAACGGTTGGGAGATAGATGGCTCTGCCCTCCGGGTGAGGGTCCATCCTATCAATCCCGGGTACGGCGTCGATCGGATCAGCGATATTAAAGCTTGAGCCCGGAACGGTTTCACGGCGCGGCGCCGGCGGCGGTACCGCGCCTCCCGTTTCGGTAAATGTCGTGGCCAGACGGATGGCCACGGCGGAGCTAATAGCTCCCTTTAGAGCCAATGCGGTGGGAGATTCGTCCTCCTCCGCGGCGAGCTCTGCCACCACCTCGTCGCGTAAGAGGGTGGCGATCTTCTCGTCCAGCAGGGCGCGGAGCGCGGTGTCCGCATGCTCCGCCACCAGTCTTGGTGCCGTTCGGTCAAGGCAAACCTGGACGACCTGATGTAATTCCTCAGCGAAGAAATCCTCCATCCAGGTTTGTAGTCGCGGGAGTAACGCGTCGTACAGTACTTGTACGCGGTTTCCCCCACCAGCCGGTAGCCCGGCGATGGTGTCGGAAACGGAAGGGGTCTTCTGGCCCCTGGTAGACGGCGGGCGTAGCAGGGCTTCCGGATTGTCGATCTGGGGGCGCTGTGCGCCTCTGCCACTGCGGGTACTTGCTCGCCCGGAGGTGGTATCTTCTCGGGCGGAATCCGCACGGTTCATCGATGATCACTGGCGATCGACGCGGTGATTTTCGACCTCTTTCAATCCGATCGGTAATTGCTCGCGCTGGCAATCCAGTGCGGGCTCAACCTCTTGTGGTTATACCCTCCACAAGAGTGCCAAAATATGGTATAACTACCTTCGTCCCGACCACTCGGAAACGAGGGGGGCTAGAGGTAAAGGAGCGCGCGCCGCTGGGTAACCCACGCGCGAACGCAAACCGTACGGAAGGACTAGAAAAGAGGGAAGGCTCACGTGGCCGGTGACGCGCAGCCGGTTGGTGGTGTTAGATCCGGACGGCCGGTCACGGGTTAGAAGCCTGAGACTAAAAGGGAAACCGGAACGGGATAGCAATTAGCCGTCAAGGGAAGGGAGGCGAGTCTGCCTCCCGTTTACTGGAACGGGGCAGGTGCCCCCGGTCTTAACCCCTAAGTGGGACGCTAGGACACCTGTCCCGCTACAGTAGCTGTTACTTACTGTATACCAGCTACTGTGCTAAATTGGCTAATTTGTGCCATTAACTACTCATTACTAGTTAGCCACCGTACGGATTGTACACGTGCGCCCGTGGCCACGATCCCGGCTAACGGTTGTGCCACGTGTTACTCGTGGGCACGCCCGCTGTTACCGGCTGTCCTACGTCGGACCCTTGCGGTGCTACTGTACACGGCGGCGGGCGCGTGTACGCCCGCTCGCCACAGTTGCACCCGCCCTCCCGCGCGGTTATCATCTCTCCGGGGGGTTGTGGTACGGAATTATACTACAATGTAGACGAGTCTGGTGATAATTGAGCCGTAGACAAATGCAGGTACCTTCGCATTTTCGAGTAACAGCATTGAAAAGTTCTAGATGGCTTGTTGAATTGAGGCCGGGTCGCAATGGCTGAGTTAATCGAGAACAACCGCTCGGAATCGCCTCAAGAACACGCCTGGTGCTTCACCGTTGTTTCGTGTGCAGGTGAAAACTTGGCGCGTCATCTGGACGAGTCGTCGAATGCCATCTGTGGGTGAATCTTTGGCGTCCAGATTCACGATATATTTGACGAGGTGCACTTCCTCATTCAGATTCTCGGTGCCGTTATCGTCTCTATCAAGGTGGATCACGCCAGCAGCTATGGCTTGTTCGCCTTGTGACGCAAAGACATGACCAAACGCGTTACAGAGCACTAGTACGAGCGCAATGAGAATCCCCTTTATTCTTTTATCTCCTCCATTCGCAAAAACGTTTGACTGTTGAGACCCAAAGCATCAGACCTTTTCTCCATCTGAACTTGTTTGGGGTAGTGCTTAAATGCGGTGGTAGTAACATATCATTTCCCGGAGTAGAACCCATGTCTGGGCCCATAGCTGTGAAATGCATCAAACTAGACATTGGTAAATAGGTGACAAAAGACAGTGGACACACTTCTACTCTACAGGCACAGAGTAGAGTACAAGTGCTCGCAGAGGATTCGCTTGCCCCTCTCCTTCTTTTGAGCGTCTAGATACCACTTCTCTTATACAGGACTTGTGGCGTTGTTTGCGAAGCCGATGGGCGACTCGTTAGCATTCACCAAGTGAGCATTCGCAGTGTGTTGATGCTGGGATATCTACTCTACGATGGAGGGGCATTGCAAAGGTGGCCAATACGTTCATTGCATTCTATTTGTTCATAGTTGCATTAATCATTCAAAATAGAGATAGCTGTTGCTTAGTCAACTAGCTGACTGTCACAACTGTACAGTCCATACCGCTCAATAGTGCAGTACCGTGCCACGCGGTGAAATACTGGACTATTGTCGTATTGCACTACTTAATGGAAGATCTCGCCAATCACTTTTACAGCGTAGCTTTACTTGAAGAAATATACGCTGCACACGTGTCGAAAGTTGTGACAAGCGGCTTTGACGTGCACTATTGACGGTTTGCACTAATCACAACTGCACCATTGAGGAGGTACTCTCTGCACTATATTTTTATATTTTGAATTTGAAAATCAAACCGATAACTCCCGCCCTCGCTTGGTGGGACTTGAGACCTGCGAATGGTTCGATAAAACGTAAGCACCACTACGGATGCCAACCCACACGTTGTATGTAGCATGGTGTTATATGCGCGCTTTCAGGGACAGAAAATCACCTTCATTCCCCTGTATCAACGTCTTGCTGTTTGAAAGAAAAAGACCAGTCACAACTAGCGTGCACTTCGGGGCTGCGCGCCGGAGATAACCTCGATTGAAAGCTTAGAGCAGTCGAAAACTACCAAACAGCAAGAAATCTCTTGCTACGGACTTTATCATTGCGACTTGACGGGTTTATTGGGTGACTAACGCAGAGCCATACCGGAATGTCAAAACCACGCAAGGATATATTGCAGGATTCCTTAGAGGCAGCTTTGCACAACTCATTTCTGGATGCCGAAGCACATGAGGGGCTAGTCTCTGCAACAACACGATACTTTGGACTAAGCGATCATAGTGGAGTGCAAAAGCTCTTGGAAGACGTCTCCGCAGTTCTATGGGGAGTCATGCGCGCTCAAGTTGATGACTGGACATCTGAACGTGGGCTAGGTGAGATTTTGAAAGTAGTCGACGAGCAGTGCCTTCGAACGATCCCTCAAGCACTTGCGAACGGAACCCCTACGGCGTTGGCTGAACCGTCCTTGAGCATGCCCAGTTCGTCATACGGTGAGGTTCGGTACTCTTGCAAGCGGCAGCAGTTGGAAGTATTGCGGAAAGACCTCGCCTCTCGGACTCTTGACATGGAAGAGATTAAAGAGCAGCTTGCCGCAGAGGCAGAAAGAGCTGCAATTCTCAGCCAAAAGGTTGCGACTTTTGGGGAGAAAGGCCTTCCGGCGATCTGAGATCAATCTCGCAGACGTCACCCAGTTAGAATTGTTGTAGTCCAAGGCGACAAACCGCTAGGGTGCTGCATTTCGCGGTTTGTATCGATAGGACCAAAGAACGACGTCAGGCTTTTGTTTGACTGGTGCGGGAAGCGTGTTCGAGCACACACGTTTTCGGCGGATATTACGACTTAGCAGTCTGTACTCCAAATCAATACAAACGGATTCTCTGGCACTGAAGCAACAACGTTTGGGCACGCTGATTGCTGCCATCGCTGTGTTGCTTTTCGGCTTGTTGGCTCTGTGATCAGCTCTTAGACATTCACGATAACCGACATGTATTGTCGACTTGGCTATCCACCTCCGTTTCCCGACTCGATGCTCTAAGCACTCACCGAATTCAAATTTCGGTGGGGTTTTTTCGCAAAGCGCCACGTAAGCTTCGAGAGAAGGGAGAGTCCGGAGTGCTCCATGTCATTGCTACTTAAAGGCATAATGCGGATGAACATTAAATTGAGTTTCTGTTACCCCTGGGCAGCATTCACATCGCCTTTCACAGATTTGTGAATTAGTCCGGCTGCGAGTCTTGTGGAGCATTTCGCGTTGCGGTGGGAGACATGGAAAGCGCACAGCAGATGGAGCAGATGTTGCTCCAGCCAGGCTGACACGTGGGATTCTCAAAATGCTCAGCCGGAATGGGCAACTGATGTTGAGACTGTTTGGAAGAGCTGTGGTTCATGGAGAGTACCGGAAACGTCATGTCCGCCAAAGTTTGGAGAGTTGGCACATAAGCACCTCCACATGTATTTACACTTAATACTGATATGGATAATACATCCTTTCTTCAAACTTGCTACCGAACCACTGGTCGGGTTCAATGCAAAAACCCATGCAGAGTGGGGATTCTCGGATTTTTGACACATACTGTAGCGACTGCTGCGAGATAACACAGCAATGATAGATGGTCTGACCAAATTTGGCCATTAGACTGTTCGAGATCATCTTATCCCCCTGTCACCTCTCGTTGGACGCTTCTGTTTCTACGGTATAATGCGGTGTTGTTGTTCCCAAAACCGGAACCGACTCGGGAATCCTTTGGGATTTCACCTATTCCGAAGTCATCGGCTTCTAATTTACCGGCTTGTCGAAACTGGGAAATTGCGGTTTTCATGACAGATAGCGTTTCGAGTGCAGCCGATGGTTCCTTCTTCTTGACTGCTTTTGTCAATTTCTTCAGAGCTCCTTCGTAAGCATCCGCTTGTGAGTTCATTTTCTCCAGGAATTTAGCGCTGATACTGAGTCCCCCTCCACCTAGAGAGCTCGTGTACAAGCGCATGGGAAGAAGTGCATCACGAAGTTCTTCCTTCTCAATTTCTGCAACTTCGCTCCACTCGTTGTTCCGTACCGCTTGCTCGGCGTCGGGAAGTGCATCCCATGCCAGCTTCACGCGGGGTAAGTAGCGCTTTCGTGCCGTGGGAAAATAGTATTGTCCGCGAAGGTTACTCTCGATTTCGACTTCAGCTTCGGTGGGCTGCCCAATACCAGCTCTCTTCCGTTCTGCAGCGGCCTGCAATTCGCGTTGCTTTTCGAGTCGGACACGTTTCTCTTCTGCGACCCGCGCTCGCTCCTCCTCTATTTCTTCAGGAGTTTTTTCTTCGCGAAGAGATCCCAGCAGCTTTTCTTTACTTGGTTTCCCGGGCTTGAGTGCATACGAAGGGCGCGGAAGACAAATTGCGGCGACAGAAAAGCCGGCGAGACGTATTGCTGAGCGTCGAGAGATGGGCGCTGCGCTCATGTTCACGAATGCACTGTTGTTCCAGCCCATGATGCATGCTCAAGCCCCACCAGAATATTGATAAATTGATATTTGTGAGAGCAACTGTCTAGGATTCTGATGGGTTAGTTGTGCGTTGATGGAATGTTCATAACATGAGAGAAAGACTCAATGCAAAAGTGGCCGAGGTGGACAGACAGAATGCTCTTACTTTTTTGTTTGTGAGGGTCGCAAGGCAGCCAGACTTGCAACTAGAGACCTGGAGATGTGTAGAGATAGAGATAGAAAGTAAACGCAATAGGATTCGGTTTTCACGGTTGAGAGGAGAAATTTAGGAGATGATATCCATGACCATTCGTGGCAGGGATGGCCTGGAATACTGTAAAGGCCTGGAATAGAGAACGGAATGTTGGGAGGATGTAGGAGGAGCGGCTTAATTGCGGTACACACGTGTCGATGACTTCCCTACCTGTTGATCTCAACTTCGTATCTACACTTTTTGGCTCTCAAGAGCCAAAAAGTGTAGATACTGTACGAAGTTCGCTGATCTCGCGTGACACGTGGACTCTAAATGATGTGTAACACGTGTGCAACGTGCGGGCATCGCATAAATAGCAAAGTAGGACCTTTTGCGAGCCTCGATACCCAGAGTTTTGGACACCACAGGCGAGAATCATTTGGTCTGGGAGCCATTAGGCTCACGACGGTATTAGCCTGGACATAGCACGGTGCGGGCTACCAAAGCAAGCTCATGTTTCGACAAAGAGGGCTAGCAGTGGCCAGCCGGACGGCATTGGTATATCGGACATCTACCTCCGAGAAGAAACTGGACCAGGTCTGGAGGTTACATGTCTTGCAGCGGCTCAATCGTAGTTATTGTACAAACTTACCACCAGAATGTGATGACCCAGAATTCGCTCGCGTACTAAAGGCATCACATGATGATCTAGTGCGCGAGGTTTTCATTCCTGCCTCCGGCGAACAAAGTTTTACACTGGACCCGACTATCGATTATAGCAAAGATTTCGACTGGGCCGAGTTTGAGCGTCGCTTTGGACTGGATCATGATGAAGAAAATCTCTTTGATGAAGATAGTCTCTTTTGTGATGATGGAGAACAAATACGGAGAAAAACACGAACCACGAGAAAAAAGCCGGACGAAGAGCCCGGGAAGTTCACTTCTAGTGCCGATAATTGCTACAGTTTTACCAAGCGTGACGAAAAGGGATCACATGCTATGAGTCCTGACTGCGCTGTGGATTACTGCGACGAGGAGAGGCCAGAGGGACAGTGGCACACTTTGAACCGTCGAGTGGCATCTGAACCGATCAAAGAAGATGGGAAAGTCGCAGTGGATGGACCAAATTTATTGCAACACGCATTCATGGAACGAGAAATTCCGGTCCATAGAGGTGGCAAGCAAATACCCCCTGGGGTTGCACAAACATTTCAACAGCCGGTGAACCACAAACGACCAGGATATGAGCGACGAGTGATGAGCATGGAGCGAGAGATGGAGAGAGTTGCGGAGCAAGTCCTATGCAAAGCGGACTCTACTTGGTACAAGGCGGGAGCGAATATTGAGCGACTCTTGCTTTCTCCCAATATGAAGAACCTAACCCTATTTTACACTATTGACAGTCAGGCCCGTAGACCTTCGTCATGGTGGCGAAAGATAAATGCGAAATCGGCTAGTTCTTTGAGAGCAGCCTTGGCCCAAAACCTTAAAACAAAGTACGTACCAAGGGTATACTTTGAGGAAGCGACCATCAATAAGACCAGCCGCGTTACACCTGCAGAAAGCAAACTTGATATCCTCTTCGATAAGATTGCGGCTGAACGTGAAATGAAAGTTCATACCGCCGAAGAAAGTGAAGTCGGGGAGTAAATGACTAAATCACTGTTGCTCTGCTGAGAAGAGTCATGATGCGGGTTTGAAACCTGAATACGTTGCAGTGATTCCCAGTGAGTAGTCCGTGACTGTGTTATTGACGAAACCAGCGTCCTTCATCATAGACACAAACTCGTCTTGAGCTGGAAATTGACGAATGCTTTCAACCAAATATCGGTAGGCTGCCTCATCACCAGCAATGTATTTTCCGATGGCCGGAATGACTTTAAATGAGTAGGCATCGTAAAATGCCGCAGCCGGTGGGTTATCCACCTTTGCAAATTCCAACATCATAAACCTACCTCCTTTCTTAAGGACCCTAAAGGCCTCTGCAAGGGCCCTGTCAACTTGTGGGACGTTTCTCATACCAAATGAGATTGCGTAAACATCAAACTCGCCATCCGGAAACGGCAAACTTTCTGCATTGGCTTCGACAAATCGAACAGCCTTTTCACCTATGCTTGCCTCGCGGGCCCTTTTTTGACCGACCTCAAGCATTTTGGGATTGATGTCTGCCACAACTACCGGTGCGGTTCCACCTGTTCTGGCTGCAACACGAAATGCGATGTCCGCGGTGCCACCTGCGCAATCAAGGATACGCATTCCACGAGTTGGTGCCATATCAGCAACGAAAGCTGATTTCCATAAACGATGCACTCCAAGGGACATGGCGTCGTTCATGACATCGTAAGAGGGGGCAACTGAGCCGAAAACTCGGCCTACTAAACCTTGTTTTTCAGACATCGGGACTCTCGAGAAACCGAAATGAGTTTCGCCTGAACCTTTCTCTTTATCCGGAGACCCGTGCGATGAGTGACCATTTGCGGCTTTTGCAGAACAGTTTCGAGTTGCCAGAGCACCTTGTCGAAGCATGCGAAGTGCTATTCTCGAGTTCTGCCGTAGTGCTCGGCACGAGGAAAGCATTGTGGACGAGTTCGTGGGTACTTACAAAGCGCAGCGAGCAAGAAGCAAAGAGGATTGCTTCTCTTTGCTACTGTGTCTGGTTTGTTCTCCAGTATACATGCGATGCACAGGTTGCCTATTCGAGAGATCTGTAGACGAAGAATGTCCTTCAACTAGTCGTGGGGCGATTAGACAGGTAGGTTGGATGATGTGCAACCGAGCGAGAATCTCACAGGAATCTGCATGTACCGAACCTTCGAGTGTTACGAACTCGGAAGCGGATTGGATAGGTATCCTACTCCACGTTTGTAAATCTTTCGATCAGGATGGTTCAGGATGGAGGCTAGTCGTTGGTCAATTCTTGAGTGTGTATCTTCTTTAAAAATTGGAGGTTTCTTTATGCCCAGCAAACCAAGACCGCCACACTAATGTCTGTGGCCTGCAGCATTTCTTCCTTCATAACAGCAGACTTGCGCTGCAGATATTGACCTCCCTCATCACTAAGCATCTTTTTCTGCAGCTTCTTTGGCAATTCAGGTGCAGTGACCGAGAGCAGCAATGGCTCGATCATCTAAAGTACTCGTTAATGCGGCCTCCCGCGCGGTGCGGACGTTCCAACTGAGGGTAAGTTTCTGGCCCTGCGCTGCGTGCCGTATGCCTTACGCTTCTGCCGTCTCTTCACAAGTTTCCGAATTCTAACGTTTTTCGATGTTCACGTATGGAAATCAAACTATCGAACATTGCAAAACGCGTTAGAATTCTGGATTGCACAATGCGATGGATCCAACGAAAACTTCAGCCTTAAGTACGACAGTTGTTCCAACATCTCTGGTCCACTTGCGTACTGTTCATTCAAGCTCCGCCCGAGACAGCAAAGTTGCCCACTTGAAGGGCATGCAGCCTTCAAATCGCGCGGAGTATGTCGTGACTAAACTTGATGATCTTGTGAATTGGGCTCGAAACAACTCGTTATGGCCAATGACTTTCGGGCTCGCGTGCTGCGCAGTTGAGATGATGCAGGCCGGTGCTTCGCGTTACGACCTAGACCGCTTCGGTTTTCTTTTCCGCCCATCCCCGCGTCAATCGGATTGCATGATCGTTGCTGGCACACTCACCAACAAAATGGCCCCGGCTCTGCGAAAAGTCTACGATCAGATGCCCGAACCGCGTTGGGTTATCTCCATGGGTTCCTGTGCAAATGGAGGGGGTTATTATCACTACTCGTATTCAGTCGTGCGCGGCTGTGATCGAATTGTTCCAGTCGATATTTACGTCCCAGGATGCCCTCCGACTGCTGAAGCGTTGCTGTACGTTGTACAAGTTGCCCCTCCGTATGGTCTAGCTCGATGATTCTATATTTCATTCAGGGCCTTGACTAACAATATCTCTTCATTGCGTGCGTTTGACCGTTTTTGCCTTCTCACATCACTCGCGCACCCTTTTAGATGTACGTTTTGATCCACTGCAAATTCTTGACATGCGGGGAGCAGGGAGGGAAGGAGGTCACTAACATCTCTGCTGATCCAATCACGATTTGCGTTTGCTCTCCGTGCGTGCTACAGACGGGCTTATGCAACTACAAAAGAAAATCAAGAGACAAAATACTATGTATGCATGGCTGAAGCAATAGATTAGGCTGCCTTTTAGAAAGTGTTCGCGTCTCCGTGAGTTCACGCTTGCGTATTTGGGTGCCTTTAGTCAGAATTTTTGAGACGCGTGCCTGCTTCACAATTGCTGTACGCCTCACGAGTATACTTTATGGTCACTTCGGAGTCAAATTGCTAGTCCGTCCGCTGAATGGCATCGCATACTACACGCCTTGAAGCTCCGTGCGTTGTAGGCTTCCATTCCCGCGCGACGTCCACTTTCTTGCGTACCGAATGATGTATGGAGTGGCAAGCATTGACAATGCAGTCGCCCCGTTGATCATTCTCGCTTCTGAGGCGGAAAACAGTTGCAGGGCCTGGCCCTTTGAAGCAATGACGAATGTAAATTCCCCTGCCTGAGCGATTGCTGATCCACATGCCATTGAAAGACGCATTGGCAAGCCTCCCAATGCACAAATTACTAGTCCCATTACAAGAGTCTTGACTAGTAAAATCACAACCAACAAGACGGCCATCTTCATGAAATTCTGATAAAAGTAACGCCAGTGGATCATCATCCCAACAGAGATGAAGAACACGGCAGAGAATATACTTCGAATGCTCGATATGCAGTCCTCCACTCTCGCCTTGTGACGCGATTCTGAAAGCATGATTCCTGCAGTAAATGCCCCGAGTTCGATAGCGAGGCCCATCTCTTCTGATAGATATGACATAGCGAGGCAAAAGACAACGCATCCTATCGTAAAGACTTCCTGACTCTTTGCGGCGTCGAGCCGTTCTGATAGCGACGGAAGTACAAACTCAGCCAAAATCAAGCTAAGCATTACAAAGCATCCAAGTCGTAACATCGCGCTGAGGAGCTCCTCCACGAACTGTCCCAAAGAGCCCTGCAATGTGGGTAACAAGGCCAAAATCAGCCCAATCATGACATCTTGAAACACCAGCAAACCTAGCATTACCTTTCTGCTTCGTGGAGCATCAAAACTTAACGGCATCGACATCGACTTCGTCGGGCCCGACACACTCTGCGAGTCTGCTTGGCTGCTGGGATCGTGTTTGTACTTATCGTCGCCGCCTTCCGCGCTTGCCCCCGCCTCCCCGTGGCCATTTTGAGCTGAACCAGACCCGTGGCCGTGGCCTGCGCCTGGAAGGCACTGTAATACAACGGCAGTAGATGAAAGCGAAACGGCCAGCCCAAGTGCGACGGCCTCCGGAATCGTCTTCACGAGTGCAAGAACGAGGGAAAGGAAGCCGGTTCCGAAAACGACCCCAAACATGCTGGTGATACCGCCGACGACAACGACGCGACGGACGCCTTGCAGTTCTGTGATGGAAAACTCGATGCCGAGGGAGAAGAGAAGAAAAGCAATTCCTAGAGAGGCGAGAGTCTCAACCTCGACGAGCTCTGTAACTACACCAAAACCACCAGGACCGATAGTCATGCCACCAAGTAAAAAACCGATTAGGGGGGGTTGTCTGAAGTTGGTAGCGATGACGCCGCCGATGGTAGCTGCAAGAAAGACAAGAACTAAATCTTTGACAAAAACAATGTCTTCTTGCAAGGTCATTCTAGGATCTTTAGAAGGGTCTTTTGTTTGCTTGAGATTGGAGAGTTGCTTAAAAAGCAAATCGAACTCGCCCGCGCCGACGGAAAGGGTTTCACCGTCAATGGTGATGTCGTGAGTGCCGGGGGTGCGGTCGGCCTGTTTGAGAGCATCCTCTTCGTTCTTCTTTTTGAAAAGAAGCTTGAGCAATGCGGCGACTTCCTTCTCGCTCAGGAGGCCGTCATTGTCGAGGTCAAAATGTTCAAACAGACGAGACGGGATGTGTGCGGCGGGTTGTGTTGGTGGCGCTAATGGAACCGCGGGTGGGGAGAGATTTTGAGAAGATTCGGAGAGCGGTAATCGCAAATGTACCGAAATGGGGGTAGAAAATTTGAGACCATGGTCTGTTGCGGCGGCGCGCTCATAGGGGTGGGCGGTTGAGGGAGGGAAGAAGTGGATGAGGGATAAGGTGATGCAAAGGAAAAAGATTGGCCAGCGACCGCGAGCCATCGCGGCGTTGCTATGAAGACTGGCAGTCTCTTGCCGGCATGAATTGAGTCGAACAAGACGGTGGCAGGGGGGAAAGGAGCCGTAAGACTCTACCGCGGAGAATCAGAGGGCGAACAAGAATTTTCCTGACGGTGAACTGATGTGCACGTAACGGTGTGGGTCTTTGCATCAGGATAAAAATTAATGAGAAAAGAAAAAAACAAACACAAGCATTGATCTTTGAAGTGTCATTCTCATCCCGGCCCCAGCAGGGATGTTTTCACAATTGAAGCCCTCGTTTTGAGAACCACACCGATACTGCACATAGGCTTTACAGTTATCAATTCTGAAAGAATGCGTTTTACTGTCCTATTGTGATTCGCGTTGCGTACGGACACAAAGGTATGGAGGGATATGTCTCACTCGCACGGGCAAGAGATTCGGCACCAACTCGCCGGCTCCCTCCTCCTCAGAGGAGGAGGAGAAGGTTGCTTTCCGTTTATAAACTACATCCCCAACGCCTCACTGCACGTAACACTAGCTCAATTCTACTTTCGCATCAATTGCGTGCGGAATTGCTAATTCCGTCTGTGCATGTATGCTTGGCTTGCTGACGGCTATCATCGTGCTTGCTAGTTGATGGCACACACCCGCAGGGTGTTTGCTTGTTCAATTACGACATTACCTTGATGCCCAATTAGAGCATTATGACATGCAATTGTGTTTGCCAGTCGTGCATGGATGCTCTTCCAATCATGGATGCGTGGGCCGTCAATCAACGACGTTGACACTCCCCCCAGTCGTGATAGTTGGCCACTATTGCGACTAACGCCTTCAGGGGACACAGTTGTGGTGCTACCAGTCATCTTTGTCCAAAGCCTTCTTAGAGTCTAACGTCACAGTCATGATTCCAGATGCACACAACACGTTGAGGCGTTTGGACATTGTTGCATTCCTTTTTGTGAGAGCATCTGAAAGGTTCTCTTTTCCCGGGATCCACCTGACAACATTGAGCTCCTTTGACTCGAAGCTATTTCGGATTCTCTGCACAGTTTGGCGTAGCCTGTATTCACGACCCTCGTGTAGGGTAGTCACAGTGTCCCACAATGCTTTAGAGTCTACGTTCAATTCGTGCTTGACGGGGTTTGACGGAAACAGGGTGTTCACCGCCACCTTGAAATAGTAACCTCGATCGTCCCCGGTTGCTGCTGCGAGAATTTCTGCCCCGTATGAGGAGTGAGAGACTCTTTGTTGCTTATGTGACGTCCAGTCCAGCATATGGAAGACGTTCTGTTCGCCAATGCCACTTCTAGATAGTATGCCGGTGAATGAACCCGTCTGGCCATAGTCGCGGTTGGTTGGATGTGAAGCGTCTGAGAAAGAACACAGGGAGACATCAGTTGGGTTCTCAATTTTTCTGAACATAATGCGCGGATCGAGCTTGCGCAGTTCAGCCACCATCTGGTTTGCTTCACAAAGATGGGCTACCTTGAGCTTTCCAAGGCGTTGCTGCATTAAGGAGACGACAAGCGAGGCCTGGGGCATGACTCCATTTCCAAGGTACAGCAAGGTACCAGCAAGGCTGCGGAATTGTATTACTTCCTGTGCATTAGCATTTGACTCCTGCATTTTGCGTCTTGTGCGAGTCAGGTCGATTGTGCGTATACGCTTCCAATATTTCTGCATCGAGAGTTCGAGACTCCCATCCGGTTCCATGTATATTTCACATCCGCCAAACATGTATAAAGGGCCGTCGACAACCTTCCCCACTACGAACCGTTGTTTCAGCTTTGCAATAAATTCATCAATTGTGCCATGTTTCCCCGCAACTAGGAAATCGTCGCTCAATTTAGCAACAAGTAAAACGATGGACCCTGCTTCGTTTCGCCTAACGTAGAGCTGGCTTATGCCGAATACCCTGCTGAGGCCTCCGGTTGTCAACATCCACTCCTCTGCTGCGATCATCCACTGTCTACCAGCTTCGACTATGCCATAAGGCAATTTTGTCAGCTTCCAGAGGATTCCTCTGCTGTAAAGCTCATTGTAGTGCCATTCCCTGGGAGCCCGAACATAAATGTTTCGTTGAATGGGTCCACTCTGGAGGTATGCGCCCTTGATATCTGCAGTCTTAACCGAAAATGCCAGAAATGTAACAAGAGAAAGCATCAAGCGTATAATGCCGAGTTGGGCATTGGACGAGTCCTTCCGTATGCTATCCTTGTCGTCGTCTTCGTTTCCGTGAGGGCACAAGCGTGCCTTCAGTGTTCTGCGTCCCTCTTCATCGGTCTTAACCTTGTAAACTACGTGCGAGCTCACCACATTCGCATCGGCTGGTACCTCCGACTCGTGCACTGTCTCGTACGCACCGACCCAGTTAGAGTCATGTTCTTTTTGGAAGGCTTCATCTACTATCCACGACGGCGCAAATTCCAATTTCTTGCGCGTGACCTGGTTTGTACCAATCTGATCGTAAATATCCTCCATAACTCTTGGTCTGTGAGATTCTAATTCACATATCTCACCTGTTGGGCCCGTCACTCGATCTGCGCATCTGTCGATGTCCATGCTTGCTTCGTTTGTGTCTGCTTTTATTATCTTAGTCCTATCGAGTGCCATGAATTGCTGTTCTGGGCCTGCCACTGTGTCGCAGCCGACGTCAGCTGTTGCACCTGTGCTTGTTGCTTGTTTGGTTGTGATGAGAGCATTGACATCTGTCGGATGTTGTGCGTTGTCCGACATTTCAACATCCTCCCCCTCATCCGACAGAGTCCCGATTTCCTGTTCTAGCGAACAGCTCATCAGTTCCTGGGTTAGAGGCGACTGCGGGGCCAGACGTACATCTTCATATGCAGGTTTCATTGGTGGACCCCTGCTCACTCCTCCGTTGACAATTCTGCTGGCTTCAAGATAATAAGGATGTACACAAATAACTTGTGCACGCACCCACTCGTTTTTCTCGCTTCCTTTTGTAGAGGAGTGCCATACCCAAATTATGTCCCCCGTGCTGTACGCTGCTTTCCTGGCGTGGTTGCTGGAGTTTGATTTGAGGGCACGCTGGAGTGCCCTTGTTGCCATTTGCTCAACATGGGCATTTAGCAGCTCCTTCGGGACGACTGTAGACGGTATTCCGAGTACAGAGGGTTGGTAACCCCTCACCAGTTGGAAGGAACTGAGAATGCGCGATCCAGAGAAAAAGTTTGACATGAATATTGCCCTGGCTACGATGTCCTCAGCAGAGGAGGAAGTAAGTTCCTTGTCCATACGTCGAATGATCTCCTTAATCGTCTGGATTTTTCTTTCCACTCTCCCCGTTTTGTTGTGCCTCCGAGCTGGTCGTGGCTTGAATATGATTCCGTGCATTTCCAACATCGTCCTGAGTTTTCGGCGGTTATATTCGTCATCAGCCGCTAGTGCTACCGGGGCTCCATGTCGGGTTATCCATAGGAATTCTAGCTTGCTACACACAGTAGCCATGTCCTTTGAGCGTGAGATCGTGCCTTCAGAGAATGCCGTACCTGCATCTGTGATGATTAGGATGGTGCGCTTGCTGCCTCTGACTTCTTCGAAGGCAAAGTCCATTAGAATTTCCATATTGAAACGCTCGTTAACATGCGTGAGAGAAATCTTGTTAGTCGGTGCTGGTTTGCCTGATTGTGCGCAAATGCCGCATGCTGCCCCAACATTGTCAATTGCTGTCTCAAGTGCTTGCGTAAGTACCCCAGCGTCATCACATACGCCTTTGATTTGTTCAGATGGTGCATGGGTTAAGCGATGAACTCGTTTTGCAAAAAGTTTCGGTGCGCGCTTGATTCTGTTATGTAGTGTTGACGATGCCAAGGATGTGATATAGTTGCTTAGCCGTGGAATAATCTCAACCCTTATCCGATTGCATCGGGGCTTATTCGGATCAGCTGCTATGTACGTGGAGAACGTACGAGGTGAAGAATCGTGAGGTCTGCAAAAGCAAATGAATGGAGAATCGGCAATGTTGTTTTGTATTGCATATTTACCAATGTCAAGTCCGATAATGATTGATGAATTCCCAGGGAGCAGATCAAACAGAATTGTGCACGGGCGTTGCTCGTGGTCGAAGATAGTGAGCTCCCAACAGCCTACAAAGGATTCTGCACCTAATCCTTGCTCCCCCCATCCGTGAACCATTTCTTCTCGAGGCGCGTGCATCGTTAGATCTATCTCCAGTAAGTCGCATAACCTGGCGGCGCTATTTGTGCCGGCGGTACAACATGGAGAGCCAGAGTCATAGATCGGGTTCGGATCGACTGTCATGGCTCTCAGTTCTCGAAGTATGGCCTTCGTTTCTTGCCTGTGCGCTCGTCCTCACTCCTATCGGACTGTTTATTGTGATTGAAGTCACTCCTAAAACGCTTCTTATGTGCCTCCTCATAGCCACTCCCTTTTTCGATTTCGCGACTTTTCGAATTTTCGTTGTACAGTTCGCACTGTCGGTCACGCGCCCAATGACCCTTCTTACCGCATGCAGCGCAGTATGAATTCCTTTTCGCGCCCGTTCCTGGAGGGATGTATCCCTTCCTATCGCCACTCTGCTTCCCTGCTTTGTCTGATAGCAACGATTCTATGATTTCTCGGGCATCCGGCTGCTCGGATTTTTTGTCATTCGAGTGTTCATTCTTCTTGCTTATGTCTGTGCTGCACTTCACGTTGTGCAGCGCTTCTAGGACGTCGTCCAGCGTAAAGCGAATGGCAAGCTGCTCATCACTATTGACCTGCGTCATCCTGGCTTCCAGTACCTTGATTGTGGCCAAAGCCTTATCTGCACTTGTTGTCAATTGCTGCGATTCAGTGTTATGGCCGCTCGATGATGACTGAATGCCAAAAACATGTTCCTTAAGTTCTCTGATCTCTTTGTGGTTTATATGCGACATTTGCTCATCTGAGTCTGCAGTTCCGGGTTGCTTACCCATTAACATACTCAGTATGTTTGTATATACAGAGTCGAGGAGATTAGCGTTCTCAAGGAGGATCAAGGCAATGTTCTGTTCCTCTTGCGGTGTTGGTGAGTGCTTTAAACAGTTGAAAAAATCCTGTGCCACCGCGTGGAATCTGCTTGCGAACGTCTCATACGTCTCGCCCTTGCTTCGCTTGCAATTAAATACCCTGCGATTGAACTGTATGAGTCTCCTGGCTGCTTCCGTTGACGAATCTTTGGCTACGATTTTGAGAATTCGCTCTACAAGAGCTTTCTGCTCCATGTATGGTAGTACGATGTCATCGTCATCATCGGGCTCCTGATGAATAGCCGCGTCCTTCAGTTTCGAGTCGATGACCTTCTGGTAGGCATCATCCATGCTCGCGTATAAGGCGTAGGCAAAGCCACTAGCAACACCCTTCGCTCGGGTGTCACCACCTTTAGCAAAGACACGAACTCGGCGCATCCATGTGCGCACTTGGTTGCGATAGCGGTACCTATCAGTGGATGCAGTGAGGCGAGGAGCATCCGTATGCTTGTTGTGCGATGACTGCCCATGCGAGGACTCAGAGCCTCCTGGGCCCATAACTGTGATTCGCGTTGCGTACGGACACAAAGGTATGGAGGGATATGTCTCACTCGCACGGGCAAGAGATTCGGCACCAACTCGCCGGCTCCCTCCTCCTCAGAGGAGGAGGAGAAGGTTGCTTTCCGTTTATAAACTACATCCCCAACGCCTCACTGCACGTAACACTAGCTCAATTCTACTTTCGCATCAATTGCGTGCGGAATTGCTAATTCCGTCTGTGCATGTATGCTTGGCTTGCTGACGGCTATCATCGTGCTTGCTAGTTGATGGCACACACCCGCAGGGTGTTTGCTTGTTCAATTACGACATTACCTTGATGCCCAATTAGAGCATTATGACATGCAATTGTGTTTGCCAGTCGTGCATGGATGCTCTTCCAATCATGGATGCGTGGGCCGTCAATCAACGACGTTGACACCTATACAGTAGTACTTACCCATGCCACCCATTACAGTACCGTGGACACTGCACGTGTCGAACGTGTCAATGGGATCGACAATCATGGCTTCTGCTGGACTGGCCCAGCATTGCAATCAGCCAATCTGATCGTCACTGAGGGCATTGACACATTCCCAATCATTCCCTCAATTCGGGTCCTCTTTCATCTTGCCTTCAATAAGATCCATGCAACTCATTCAGGAATCTACCTTTATATCTTGGTCAACTTTTGATCAACGCCTTTAAGATGCTACGCATTCTTCCTCGTATTGGCAATTCCCTACGTAATTCGTCTCGCTCTCGCGCACTTTCCACCACTCCAGCGGCTGATGGCACGTACACTGTAACTCTATTCCCAGGTGATGGCATCGGCCCTGAGATCTCTGAATCAGTCAAGACAATTTTTGCAGCAGCTGAGGTTCCCGTCAAGTGGGAAACACATATAATCGATGTCCAAGCTGTGAAGCCAGGGGACGATCTCGTCAGCAAGGATGCTCTTGATTCCGTTCGCAGGAACGGCTTTGGACTCAAGGGTCCCATGGCCACTCCCATTGGGAAAGGCCATCGATCACTTAATCTTACCTTGCGGAAGGAGCTCGGTTTGTATGCCAACGTTCGGCCATGTGTCAGTATGCCGGGTGTCGACACACTCTATAAAGACGTCGACGTTGTGACTGTGAGAGAGAACACTGAAGGCGAGTACAGCGGCTTGGAACATATTGTTTATCCAGGCGTTGTCGAAAGCTTGAAAGTCATCACGCGGGATGCTTCCATAAGAGTCTGTGAATATGCTTTTCAGTATGCGAAGAATAACAACCGTAAGAAGGTCACAGCCGTTCACAAAGCATCAGTAATGAAAATGTCAGATGGCCTATTTTTAGAATGTGCCCAGGAAGTCGCCGAACGACACAAGGACGAAGACATTGAGTTTCAGACTTTGCTCATTGACAATGCTGCATCATTCCTAGTATCCAACCCTTCGCTTATAGATGTTATGGTCATGCCCAATTTATATGGAGACATCATTTCCGACCTATGCGCGGGTCTCATTGGCGGTCTTGGTCTGACTCCTTCTGGCAACATGGGAGAGGGATGCATGTTAGCCGAAGCGGTGCACGGCACTGCGCCGGACATTGTTGGACAGAACAGGGCCAATCCAACTGCACTACTCATGAGCGCTTTGATGATGCTCAGGCACATGGATCTTCATGACAAGGCTCAGCTTATTGAAAAGAGTGTGCACAAGGTTCTTAGAGACGGCAAAGTTAGAACAGGCGATATTGGTGGATCTTCCACTTGCACTGAGTACACCGACGCCATAATGCGAGAAATGGATGCTCTGCGCGAGTGAGCCTTGTTCACATTTGATCTCAGAAATGTGTCCTTCACGATCGGGGCAACGTATAGGAAGTCTGTGACTACCAGATCTTTCAACAGAGCCAATTTTTAACTTTGAACTAAAACATCCACGTGATATTTCTCCTACAACTCAGTGACTGCCAAGATTATCGAGGCTAAACTACGACAGTCTCCTCCTGGCATGTTAAGTATGCTTGCGCAGGACATTATAAAGAAAACACAAACTAAGAACACACATCACAACTACAGTGAAAACATCGTCTTACCAGGCATCACAACCCTACATTGATTGCGCTCTCCAGTACTTTCATAGAGGTTGCTCCGTCGTCTCCAGTGCAAAAGGAAATTTGCTGATCTTCTCCAGTTTCGAGGTTAGAAACTTGCAACAGTCTCTCCGTCTCGAGCCATACAGTGTCTGGTGCAATAGACTCCTCATGCGGAAGGGAGAACAGAAAGAATTTAAAGTTTGCCTGAGATGCAGTACAGGAAAACAAGAGCTGACCAGCGTAATCATTCCTCGAAGCAGACTTGTTCCACTTTTCGATTGAACGGAAAGAGCATTCTATATCATGCTGGTCAGTGCAAAGAGCACGCACTAAAAAGCGTCGACAAGCACCATCAGTCTCTATCAAGATTGCATCTGTTCCTTCAAAAGATTCCAGTTCCACATCTGTAGGAGTTGTCATCGCCCATGTATACTCATGTTCGTCTTCGTCTTTCCTCAAATCGTCCGCTATGATCACGTAGGGCCGAGTCGCCCGGACGAGCAGTGTGCTGCGAATGACATGCTCTACCGATGCGAAGCGCTTCCGCCACTGATAAAGCCCAGCAAATGCAACATTTCTCTCGGCATGCAACTTATAGGGAGACCACCAGACGTTGTATCCGAACTCTCGTGGGTCATTGGGTTCAATCTCCCACCCCTTGGATGTATAGTCTTCTCCTTCTTTTGCCCACAATGTCCACATCCAGTTGTACGGGTATGTTAGATCGGCGGATGCCATCGTCGATCCTGAAAATCCGTGAGAGACGTTGAGGAGTTTAGCAAAAGGAGCTTTGTTTTTTTGTCCGACGCCATCAACGCAAGGCAAGGAATAGTCATTCGATTCGTCAAACCACTTCCACTCAGGACAAAAGCCCCATGATCTCCCATCTGCGTTCAAGACGAAAGAGCCTCGGGAGCATACATCATGACCGATGAGGAAGCCGTCAGGACGCGCATCTAAAGTGAACCACATGGCGTTCTCAGACCAGTCAGATCGCATTATGACTTTCCCTCGAGCACGGCACACAAAGTCAAGAGGCAAGCCAAGCCTCTCAATCGGCGCACGTTCTTTCAGTTCAGTACTTAACGCAGGAATGGCAAATGTGAGGGCAGCGATCCGGGACTGCACTTTCGGAAGTCTCGACCACGGCTTGCCACCTTCGCACATAAATACGCGATATACATGATCGACAAGAGGATCTTTCGGAAACATGTACTTGGTAAGAATGGCTGACGTTGGGTACCTGTATTTGCAATTCATGTCACGCATACTGTTCAGTCAGTCAAACGCTGTTGGGACCGCACGAGTTATAATAACGGCAAATGAACTACATCTTACTCCCACAAGTTTCCGGATGATCCACCATATATCTTTCCGCTATTATTCGGTTCAAGAGCATATGGAAGCCATTTCGTCCAGATCTGCTTGAAATCTTCTCACCACAAAGCGGGTCACCAAACAAGCAACAACAAAATCGTTCATATGAAATAAGTCCGTTAGGACGGAACCATTTTGAAAGGTTATGAAAGGAGTGTAATTGTTATCAACTTACGAGGATGATTGAAAAAATTGAAACCCCGGCGCGCCATAGCAAGAAAACAAAGCGAACCCTCACGGAAGCCGACATTCAAGACGTAAGAATCTTCAACTGGATGTCCGCTATCGTAAAAAGCGAAATCCATGTAGTGGACCATCAGGTCCGAAAACAGGAGAGTTACTTCTTTATCGTATCCTTCTTCGTCCTCAATAGCAGCATTCAAGATGAAAAGGTCTCCATGATATGGGGCCCAGTTGCTCTGTATACGTCTTGAAGCCCATCCCATCCCCCATACTCTACGACCCTGCACCGCAGATGAAATCGATTCCCGCATAATGATGCGCTCTTCCTCAGATAAATCGTTGTACATTATGTCGTACAAGAAAGCGTAACTGTTTCCTCCGAACAACCAACCGGTTTGAAGATTCCAATCGCTTGTATGCCAGACATTAAAAGGGTTCTTGCGAATATCTTCGTCTAGAGCTATCTCTTTGGAGCGAAGAATAATTTTTGCATAGAAGACAGCAACTTCTTGGGCCGATTGTGCAGTCTCAGGGTCATCGTACAAAATTCCGTAAGCATATGCGCCAAGCATATTAACGCATCTTTGTTCATTTGGAGTGAACCATGTATCTACAGTTTCTTTCAGTGTCGGCGATTCTTGTTCCTCTTCGGAGAGTGCTGCGTAATCTTGGAAGGACTGCTTCAAGAAAACATCTTTGCAGTGCCGCAATATCTTCCGCAACTGCGGGCCCAGTTCCGAATGGGAAAATCTTGCAAAGATTCGCGGGATGTCAGTTTCAGTGAAATAGAGTCGAGGATGTTCACCTGGCGGTGGTAGGGCCGAAAACTTTCTGCAGCCATTCGAATCAACTTCAACGTCTGAATACCATGGACATTCATCCTTTCCCCTAAGCGGTTCATTTTCGACGCCATAGCAGAATTCCTCACAAACTCCTTTCGCGAAAACGCCCCCCATTTGTATCTGAAGATCACAAGGGGCTTTTGTCGTTGATGCGTTGATACTTTGATCTTCACCTTGAAGTACTCGTCCTCATGTGCTCGTCACCTCACCAAGCAGCCAAGCACTCAATAAATTTATTTTCCGTGCAGGGATGAGCCTCAAAAACAGCGACGTCTATCTGTCCTTTGGTATTGGATTGAGTGCGAATGTTATTTCTCTGAATAATGCAAAAGCGGTGAGGTGAAATTTTTATTCCACAGTTTCTTTTGCGTCAAGTGGTTCTGAGGGAAAATGAATAGAACATGGACATGTAGATTGCGTTTTATAATTGAAGTGATGACGTTGAGGGCAGCCTTTCTCATTATCAGAAGCGTGGCATTTTAAAATCGAAATAAAAGAAGAGAGTATTTTCCAGAACAGGCATTCAGGACGACGACACGCAGAAGCCTGGTCACTTGTCTGATTTTATGTTGCAGGGTAGTTTTCAAAAAAAAGAGTGTTTCTTCAGCTCTGAAACGCTCTCCCGCGCACAATGCACGCACAGTACAAGGGAGGCTACAAAGTTGAAGAACTCTTTGGACGTCATTTGCGTTGGCTATCGCAAGGCGCAGGCCCCTTGAATGCCCGGTTGAGTCGTATTGCAACAAGCTGATGATCCCGGGCCGCTGTGGTCCTGCATCGTATTGCCTTCGCAGCTTGTCCGGGGTGTCACAATCATCTTTTGTAGATCATCGGTGTATATCTTGTGTAGGCAGAATGTTTATGTGTATGAAATTCCTGAAGAAGTAATAGCGGAGTTGGCCAAGCACAGGATGACTATGCTCGGCGCGTAGGATGGGATCTTCTGATGCCATCCTACGCGCCGAGCATAGTAGAAGGCTGGAGTAAGAATTTTTGTGGTGGGATCAACAGCCGCTATCGCTGTTGCTTGTGGAACCCTCGACGACATCCTGTGCTTAGAAGCGAAGAGCGGTATACCAGCCACAGTCTGGTATTTATCACCAAAGACAACTCTTTATTTCGTGTGGATCATACTGTGCTCCAGAAATCTCGATCGCCCGTTCTTGCCCGTTATTGCTACCGATTGAGACTGTAGGAAGGTGGTATATGGGAGTCAGGCGGAGGCGCTTGCCATTTAGAGTAGGATGTAAATTTAAGGCTAGTACATCACTGCTAGGACACCGCCCTGTCTTTAAAGATAAAGTTAATCCATTTCGATAGAGATGTGCTTATGCCAATCTCGCGCACTACTGTTGTCGTAATTCGGGGGTTAGACATGGTAGTCGGTAGTGATGGCTCAAGTGTAGCTCTGCTACGAACAGGGTGATTGAGTACCAATGTACTCCCGAGGTAACTCCCCTCTGGTTGTCTATATTCTTCGACCCTCCCGGTCGGTTCTCTTATATACTGAGTAGCTCTAGACCTCGAATGGTCATCCCGCTATCTCTTGCATTCCCTAGTGTCTAGGTGACAAATGGCCTCATATGAGGTCACTTTTCAACTTAATTTTTCTCGACTTGCGCTAGCTGAACAAAATGGAAAAAGATACTCTTGCCACCGCAGTTGACTTCTGCGCTGTGGAAGGGTGGAGCTTGGTGAGATCTGCACGTCCTTTCCAGGCTTTTTGAGAATACCTAAAGAAGAAGCTTTTTTAAAGAACATCAAAACGTTTTTTGTTGATATCTTCGAAACCAAAACGCCTGTTTGAAATATCATCCGATGGTTGAAACTATATTATATTCTTAGTATTTCTGTGTATTCATAACTGCTATCCTGATGTTTTGCAGGAAGCTATTGCCGAGGGAATATTGGTTAAAGAAATGGTGTCTAAACTGATTTTATAAAATTTCGATTTAATGTATACTTTTTTGCAAAAAAAAACCGGCCTCATATGAGGCAAATTGCCGGTCGTCTAGACACTAGCACTGTCCTTAGTAGACGTCCCGCTAGTGAAATGCCCTTTCGAAGGTTAGCTCTAGCCTTAATACAAGCATCCCGCTACCTACTGTCTATACAATTCAATTCACTTCAATTCCCTGTTAACGCATCCATGTGGAGTGATGGAACTCCAGGGTCCGCTGGCCCTTTTTACTCTGCTCGCTGTGCGTCGTTTTATGTGCTATTTTCTCTACTGTCCTGGACAGGCTGTCTTGTGCGGTCTGTCATCGAGCGCCTCTGTGCGCCGTATCTGACCCTTGGCAGCGACTTCGATTCGTCCATAGCAA